TGTAACCTTAAAGTGGATACTAGTGTGATACTAAGTGTGGACAATGGTGTGTAACTATTCATCAGTGAACCGATGTTTGTGAATTACTAACTCTCTAATGACAAGGGTCATTGTGGGAACTTGGGATTTTAGTTCATATCAACCCAGAAGGTCTGTTGTGCTACTGCCCTGAGTGGTCAGCAGGTGTCACCGAAGAAACCTGTACAAATGATTTCAAACACTTATGATACAACATAACATTTCTAGACATACTGATAGAGGCAGTCACGTTGACAAAGTCATGTTAAACCCCACAGTCTTCTTAATAGACTTTGGTGTTTAGCATAAAACGGTTGTAAACCACGATCAAGATAGTTAGTGGTTCACAAACCACAACGAAGCACTGTGGTCGCCTTGTGACGTCAGTGTTTAAAATACGGCCATGATGACCACACAAGGCAGCGGCAGACCAGCAGCAGCCACCGCTCTGTGAGCTCAAATCACCGATTTGCTCTGTAGACTTTGGAGTGGGAAAAATTATGTTTGACAATTTTTTTTTTTTATATCAGAAAAGTCTCTCCAACCTCAAAATAATGCAGTTAACAGATTCTTACGGTAACATACTGAGAGCTAGCATTTGTGGCTGCAGCTGGTTCTGTCTCTGATGTGTCACTGCCTTATACAACCACACTGATGAAAATATATATATATATATATTTCCACAAAAGTACAGGTTTGGTGTATTCTCAAATGTGGAACTCTTACCTCCAATACTGTGACTCCGCCCTCTGTCTCTCATTGGTTCCCTGCTCCTGTGGATTAGTGGACTTGTGGCCTTGGATAATGCAGAAAGACAAAGACATATTTAGTCATTTTTCCCAGAATGCTACAGGAAATCACAGATTTCACTGATGTATCTTGCACTTGATTTTTTTTTTTTTACACAGAAATGGTTTGATCATGAAACAGCTATATGTACAGAATGTGCTGTAACTGTGTATTTCTAACAGTTTTATATTAATATTAATAATAATAATAATAATTATACTGAAATGAAGTAGCATTAACATGAATAAGCTGTATTTAACCTTTTCCACTGTTAGACTCACTGTGTAGAGAAAATTTTATTTTTATTACTGCTATTATTATTTTTATTAGTTTAATTCGATTTCTGTGTGTGTGTGTCACGTATTTGTGAGTGTGTGTGTGAGTGTGTGTTGAAGGAGTGAGCACTTTCTCCTAAATAAGGAGTTAAATGTAAATTTTCTTTTCATGTTTAAATCTGTAGCTGCTGTACAGTTCTGGTGTTAATAGAACATTTGAAGAAAAATAAATCTGCCTTGTTTCTTTTTTAAAATCACATTTCAGGAGCTGTCATTGTATTAACACACACACACACACACACACACACACGGAGTAAAAATGAACTGAAACACTGGCAAAGAGTTACAAGGTCATACAGGGGACCTTCTAGAAGGTTCTTTAGTAAGATGCTAACATCAACATTAGCATCATTAGCTAATCATTAGCATCCACACAAGGCTAAGTCTTCAGTGAATGATATATGTCTCTATTATTATAAGAAATATATACATATTTATTACATACATACATATTTAAACAGGATATATATGTCTCTATTATTATAAGAAATAATAGAGATATATTTAAAAAATAACATATTTAAACAGGATATTCTTATCTTGTTCATCCCTAAAAAAAGTTTAAGTCAATGAACTTTTATTTATTTTTGTCTATTGTTTCCATAATCTACACAAAATCTATGATGTTCTGAGTTCTACCTCTGTTTGGATCCTGTTGTTCTGGATCTTTAACTGAGAACAGTTTCCCGTGAAACTGCTGACTCTTGTCCTTTATCCATTTCTCTCTCTCTGAACCATGAGAAGCTATTTTTTGTCTTTTCTTTTTCTATTTTCTCTAAGCTGTAAGATATAAAAACAACCCTCTCAGCTCAGCTTCATGTCGCCTGTTGTTGCTGTTCTGGGTCAGGCCTGGGTCCTGATTGAAACGCAGATCTGTGTTAGTTTTCTGGGTCAGGTCTGGGTCTTGATTGAAACGCAGATCTGTGTTAGTTTTCTGGGTCAGGTCTGGGTCTTGATTGGGACGTACATTAGTGAAATGAGGGAGAACGTGGGGTCAGATGGTGACTGGGATTAAAACTCTCTGGTGGCCGGCTTCGTGTCGGCGGCTGCTGCAGCGTTGTGTTTTCTTAAGATTTATTTTTGAAGCTGTAGCTGAAATCTCAGTGGTTTTTACGTTCTTTTTTTACTTCCTGTAATTGAACGTTTTCGTGCTGACTCAGTCTCACTGACCTTTGGCTGCTATTGTGTCACAGACTGAGGCTGTGGAGATTCAGCCGGAGGTCTTTTTTACTGTACATTTAAATAGTTCCTGACACTGACAGAACAGCCACTTAAACTCAGCAGTACTGACCAGTTTTCCTATTTCACTGGTTTTTTTCAACATCACCTGCGGTCCTGATGACACTTCTTACAACTCTCTTGTCTAATGACAATCCTTGTTGTCATTGGGAATCCAAGCTTACTGCGACACAGATTTTTTCAACATGAAGAAAGAACTTTTTTGTACACCACTACTCTCTCTCCCACACCAAAGTCCACAGAGAAAATCGCTGATTTTATCTGTCAGTGACAGAGTAGCTGTTGCCCCACTGCTGTCGACTGCTGCCTCGTGTGGTCAGTTTCAAACAATGAAGTCCAAAAATAATGCACGTACCTAACTGGACCTGTGTTACTACAGTGTTTAAACTCCTTACTTAACATTTGTTTCAGTGACACAAACACACCACAGGAGGCAGCAGTGGCTCAGCAGCTCCTGTTTCCCTAAAATTAAAGATTTTCTCTACAGCTGTGAGACAGTATCTGAAACGTAACTGTCGCATTTAGCTTTTAGCTTAGCTTTTTAAGGACGTTTGTAGAATCAGCCTCTTCTGGACAACCTGACTACGGTTTAAGAAGAGGTGAATGAATAACCTCCTGTATTCTGTGGAAGTGATCGGCATCGGCAGTTCTTCTCAGGAACCATCTCATGAGCATGTCCTTTGACCTTTTGACCCTGTGTTAGCTCACGTTGATTCTGAGAACAGTGGATTAACATCGGCAGATAAACACAAGCTGTTAAACATCAGGAAGTGTTTTCTGGAACGTCTTTTTCTGGTCATTGGTTGAGCTCTGACTGAAGCTAATGAGGCTCAGTGAGGAAAAGTTAACAGCTGTGAGAGCTACGAGGCTCCGCCCACTACCACTCAGCCCAAAGGTGTTGACTGTAAAATATCACAAATTGAAATTACAGAATTACATCTGCACAGACACATAGTGCTGTTTTAAAAATGTCGTTTTCCTTTTTTTAAAAACCAAATTACAGATTTGAACTCAGTTATGTTTTTTGTGGTAGCATTCTTCTCTATGTGTAAGGAAAAAAAGTCCAGGAAGGTCAGGTCTGGGTCAGGCTTCTCTGTCCTGGTCAACGACACTGCAGCAAAAGAGACTGGGATTTGAACTCCTGACCTCGAAGGTCATGACTGAGGGTCAGTCTAAGAATTAAACTGTTGACCTTGAAGGAGAGTTTTCCTGGACATGTGCCCGTGTCTGGCCATTTCTGAACGAGCTGTGTATGAAGCTGGAATGTTCACACATATGTTTGCCTGGAATGGGCCAATCAGGAGCTTCGGTACAGCTGTGGGGGTTAAGATGCTTTTCCTGTGATTGTTGCTCCACCAGCGGTACCTGCAGACCTTCCTGCTCTAACACCTGTTGTTCAGTGGGCGATGTAGATAAACTGCTGGATGGTTCCTGCACTCACAGAGCTCAGCCTCCAGTGACTGCACCAGCGTCAGTGGTTCCTGCAGTTGTCAGTCCTTCTGTTTAGTTCCTTCTGCACCAACACTGGTTTCTGTCACAGTTGCAGTTGAAATACAGATCATCTCAACGACTGCCATTTCTGTCCACACTCCAACAGCTGCTGCGCGTGACTCCAGAAGTGATCTTCCTTCAGTTGGTGAACTTCTGAGAATTTGTGCAGATGACAGTCCATAATTATTTTGTTTTGCTCTGAGACAACCAGCTCCTGTAGAATCCCTCTTTGCACAAACTTCACAGAACTATTTTGATATCTCTAGGTTAAACAAAGCCTCGGAAATGTTTGTCCACACCCAAACACAACCTGCATTTTCCGATGTCTCACTTTGAGTCGGTTCTCTCAAAGTCATCACCAAACTTTTCAAAATAAAAAGGTGAGTTTAGGTACAGTTTTCACAGATTTCTCCTTAGGTCAGCGAGTGTGGCATCAGAATGAACTGTAACCTCCTCCACTGGACGGACCAACTGAGATCTGGACGTACGGTTTGGTTTCTGGTCTATACAGATGCAAGTTCTGGCTCTGGTTTAGTGGACTTGTTAGGACAGATTTGTCTTGTTCAGTTTGACAGGCGGCTTGTCTGACTGACTGTCTGCCACATTCCATAGTTCAGTTCAAGAGTTCAGACGATTCATGAACTCTGAGGCTGAGGCGCCGCGCCCTGAACCACTGTGAACAGCTTTACATTTACGCGTCTGTGTGTGTTTAAGTGTTGAGGTTTGTCTATGCATGAATCCTGAGGCAGAATCACAGGTGGTTTCACTTCAGCTCCAACAATGACAAACTAAGGTGTTTTCAAAGGCTATCTTCTTCACACAAGTCACAACTCAAAAAGTTCAGAAAAAACACAAAGATGTTCGGTGGAAAAAAAAACAGTAAGATTACTGACAGCACAGTGTTTTTAACTCACGGCCTGTCGTTCACTGCTGCCTCGTGTCAAGTCAATGTCATGACCCTCAAGTCACAGAATAACACGTTTAGACCCAACATACGTAACATCTGATCAACAGCTTTTATTTCCTATAAATTGGTCGTGAGAGATCAGTCCTTAAATCCATGGAGAAACTTTATTCTTATTTCTTCTCCTTTCAGACATGGGAGATAATAAAGATCTAAATTACAATATTTAATCATAAACTAGATCTAAATTACAATATTTAATCATAAGAAACGTATCGATCGTGATCGACTTCGCGGACTTTTGTTATTTCGTGTAAGGCTTATTTGCGAACAAAACTGTCAAACAGCATCATGGGCAGTTGTTGTCATTCCTGCGCGTCAGTTGTGTTCACCGTCGCTGCGGTTGATCCTCACCACAGTGACACCTATCTGTGCTAAACTAATACAGAGAGGTCACAACCCCTAACATGTTTGGATTCTCAGGACAAGAGTTCAGACAGCTACGACGAATCATCACAAACCAGCGAACAGGAATGCAGCTGCAGCCCCGTGTGAGTGAGTGTGGAAGAGTGTGTGTGTGTGTGTATCACAGCCCCAAGGCTGTTATCAGAAGCAGCTAAACGTAAGCTACGTTAGGTCAAAATTACTTCATGTTATACTACGATGATGGAAAATCAATCAAATCAACCGCACATAAAAAACACGTGTATGTCTCCTCCTACTGGGCATTTATGTATCATTATCTTGTTTAGTAGAGGGCGTCCTTCACACACATATTTCCACAGACAGTTACCATATCAACACTGTTACACACCTTTGTATATCACCAAATATTACAACCAAGACCACGGAGACAAACACTGATACCAAAACACTGGGACACAGAAACAGGACGTATATCCGCCCTGGAGCTGATGGTATAAATATTGTTTTGTGTTTTTGATGTTTACATTTCATTCCATCCAGCTCGATCACACCAGATGACCACACAGAGGGGCAGCAGGCCAGCATCATTGTTTTCTATGGACTTGACGCTTCAAAAACTTCAGTTTCTCGTTGGAAAAGTCTCCGTCTACTCACACGTGTTTAGTCTGATTTTAAGGGTGTGTGAATACACACCGTGTCCAACGTTTGTGTTGTTACCTGCCGGGTAGGAACACAGTCACGAGTTGAATATGAGAAATCTGCACCAGTTCGCAAATTAAGCCCCACCCACGTCTACGTTAGCACACCGCGTTCTTGTACAAGAATCAACTGCAACATCAGCCATGATGCAGTGTGTGACCTGCAGGTTCACACAGGTTTAACACATACACATATATGAGTGGCCATTCAACTCTTCACCTCCCAGATGAACCTACAGCCAGATTCGCCGGCGGGTGTAATGAGAGGTGTGAAGGAAACAGGCGTGGGTCCAGCCCCATCAGTCCGTCTGCGTCAGAACAGACTCAGCCCTCAGCCTACAGCAAAGTGCACATAAACACACACACACACACACATGCTATCTAATCTCTTAATTTGTGTGTGAACAGACACTTTTGAGGCTTAAGGCTCTGATCAATGATCTGATTATGAAACAAAAAACCTCAGACTTGAATATAGTTTTAAGTATTTATAATAGATAATCTGCCAGAAACATTCTAATCATTTTAATTTGGCAGCTGCAGATCAAGACAGCAGATAGAGGCTTCATCAAACACCGAGTCAATTTGCAGTGCTAATCATAGTCGTTTTTATTGTCTCCATATTCGTGTTTGTTGTAAAAAAGTAGAAACACGTTCCCGTCTCCCTGTAGGCAGACTGTAAGAAGAAACTGAAGTTTGTAAACCTCTCACTCTCCCATTTTTGATTGCTCAAAAGTCTTATTGGATCACTGCTGCCACCCTCAGTTCAAATGTGGTATTTAGTGCATTTCCGTGTTGGCAAACTCTCTTTTAAATGCACGGCAGGAGTTTACTGTTAGGTGTGAGATAATGAACCAGATTCTTACCTGTTGTAGCTAACGGGACGAAGGGGGCTGCTGGTCTTTTGCTGCCCTCTGGTGGTCAGCTTGTGTATCACGAACCTGAAGAAGCAGAGTAAAATAATCAGATAATACATAAATAGCGCCATCAGCCGGTTGTGACACAGCGTCACTGTCGTAAAACTGCACGATTGATGGTGGACACATGTAATGCTTTTATACAAAAACACACAAACGCAAAAGAAAAAAATCTGCAGCTAGTGTTTTGCAGACTTTCATGTGTTCTCGGAGGGGACTATGACGTCACAAGAGGTGGTATTTTTTTATTGGTCTTTTGCAGGACTTTATAGTTAAAAATCTATATTAAATCCTTGCTTTCTGCCTCTGCTAGAACTTCAAACTTTGAGCTGAAACTTCTTTCATCTTCCTGTTTTGGATACTTTATGAGAAATAAAGCCTACTTTTGATTTGTAGGCAACAAATTTTATTTTTCTCAAAATAAAACTTTTTTTTTCTCCTTTTGCATGTTGCTGAGTGACAGCTCAAACAAACTCTGGGTTCAGTTTGGTTTAGAGGGGCTTTGTTTTGTACAGACCCCTCCTCTGTGTCCTCCTCTTTTTCCTTCTTTATCCTCTTCTTTTATTGCAGAGGCTGTGGCCCCTGAGCTTCACAGTGTCTCCGAGCTGTGAAGCAGCGCCACATGGTAAGAAAACACTTCACTAACACTAAAAACCATTCTCTGATTCTTTCTACAACTGACCAACCAAAAAACTAGAGCATGTTTTTCTACAACTGACCAACCAAAAAACTAGTGCATGGTTTCAGTTCTTTCATCACATATTACTGACGGGAAGCAGGAAAATGCATGTGTGCAATATTGTGGTTATTTCTTTTTCTTTATATCTAATGTTGTATGTTTATAATTGTCTAAAAATGTTCATGTGAAAAAAACAGTTTTCTTCATCTAAACTGTGAGTGTGAAATGTAAAAAAATGTTAAAAAACAAAAACAACATCTCAGTCCACATTTTTTAAGGAAAAAAGTATTCAAAAAGTGAATGATATCTGATGATTTGTTTTCCCAAACACAGCTATCACAGCTAAAGCTAGCTACAGTTAGCCAAACTAAGACCTACTTACCTTTAGTTCATACTTTAACCATGTTTGATGCTAACTTTGGCTAATATTAGGTACATTTTTTAGGTGAGTCTGGGACTATTTCTTTTCTAAATGTAAGTTTAAAAATAAAGTGTAGCTGATGATTGAAAAACAAGCAGAAAGTTAACGTAGAGATTATAGCGTTAGCCTGTAAACTGCAGTTACAAAGAGCTTCTATTGAGAAATTAGCTTAAAAAGCTTCTGACTTCTGTTCACCTACCTTTTATGCTAAACATATCCCAGAATTCCCTGAAGACTTAATAACCCTTATTCACCAAAACGGAGCAGAAGTAGCTTTTGACACAATCTCTTTTAGACTAAACCATCTAGACAACACAACAGGAACAGAAAAAAAAATCTTAAAAAATAAAAGCCTTAACCTGAATCAGAGGTGACGTCTTCTCCTATGTCTCCTCAGCCGACATGAGCGTCCTTCCACACGGCTCCTGGCTGCTCCTCCTTGTCCTCCTCGTCACTGATGCTGAGCAGCAGCAGGTGAAACAGGACAAACCTCGTTCAAGGCCAGCCACACCTCCTGCAGACAGGAGAAGGGAGCACTTAGTGCAAATCTCTGGAGAACTGACCACCAAGGATGGACATCGCTGTGTTTGGCAAACATCTGGCAACGTCCGAGTCAACCTGCTGCTGAACTGCAGCACTGAGACACAGCAGGGAGGCACAAGAACGTCAGGGTTGGTTTGGACGTCTTGATGCTGGGCTAATAAAATATTTATCTTCTTTAATAGTTGTTTATTCTCTCCCTTATCTCCAATACTAACATTGATAGACAAAATGGATGTTTTTACATTCAAAGATTATTTTGCTACATGGTCAGACTGATTTTAATTTTTTTTAAATAGCCTTTATTTTTATTTATGACTTTACTTTCTCTTTTGACTCTTATCTCATCCACTTTCTTCCTCATTTGTCTCCTTGCTCCCTCTGCTCTTACAGGTACTGGTGCCGTTATGCAGGTAAACCAGACCTGTGCTTGGCATATGGTGTGAAATCCAGTCTGTACTGGAAGAATTTGATGGAAATGCTGAGGAAGAGAAGGAACACCTGCGAAGGAGAGAAGGTCTTGAAGGTCAGATCGTGCAAGAAAGCACCGGCTGAGGCCCACATGAAGCTGACGCAGCGAGGACGCGACGAAGATGACAAAGACGACAGCAGTAGGAGAGAAACGATGATCAAGAGGAGTCTTGACGAAAAGAAAACAGAGGAGGAGACCGTGTTAGAGGAGGTGATGAACGACATGGTGGTGGAGGAGAGTTACTGCAGCGACAGGTGGAGATCAATCTGCTCCTTTCTCCTCAAGGTCTTTGAGGGACAATAAATTCATAATTTTGACAAAAAATGTGACGTAACAAAAAAAAATTGTCTTTGAGGGACAATAAATTCATAATTCTGACAAAAAATGTGATGTAACAAAAAAAGTTTTTTTTTTAACTGGTGTGTAAAAATTACATTAAAAGAAGCAGCAGCACGTTTAGAAACAAAGACCAAATGGGAAACTGTGCATCATAGTGATGACGATCACAATGATGCGTTTGATGACAGTGGTAAAGAAGACAACCAGTGTTACTGGAACTGGAGGCAAATATATTCTGTGGAACTGTTCTTCTCAAGTCTGATGGTTGTTGTGTGTGAAGCCTTGTATTCACAGCACCATGACCTTCGACATGGAAAACATTTTATTCAAATTGTCCATTCACTGTTTAACCATTAAATGTCAAAAACAAATGCAATGTCCGCAATAAATAAATCAATAAACAAAATATAATAAAAAATCAAAGATCATCATTCATATTAACTACCAACGTTAATGTAAACATTTACCTAAATATATAAATATGTATAAAATATAAATATATATAATTTCAGAATTTCTTTGTAAAACATTAGAAAAGAATTTGTAAAATACCATAGAAAATTACTATTCAAAGTTTGCCCAGCAGTACATTCAAAGTGGACCAGAACACTGGGAATTTGCCAAAAAATATTACCACACTCTGGGCTAGATTAGAGAAACGGCAAGTAAAGCAAGCAAACAAAAACTGAATCCAGACTTGGGGGGTCAAGACCAGAGGATAAACTGCAATGTGTGACCATGACAAACATTTTCAGCACCTATTTGTGACACTATGATTTACAGCTGATTCTATCTGGTCGTAGCCTGTCCTCAGATGAGGTCAATGTGTCTATAAATGAATGTTAGTTACACATTACTTCCCATACGGCAGCAAAAAGAAAATAAAACCTCACTGATGTACTGGAACTTTATTTAAAATAGTCCTCGATAACTGACCCGGTAACAGTGACTCGAGCCTGATCAAACATTCAAATCTGAAATTATATTTAGATGTACAGTATTTCACAAAGTCTGGCCTCAGCCTGTAACGCTGTAATGTTCCTGTGACTGCCAATCCACAGCTGACTCTGAGGTCGGTGTAACCTTAGTGTTTTCGTTTTATAGGTTTTCATTTTCTGACCTTTTCTCACTGCAACAATAAACAAAAAAATATATATTCATGTAAAACTTGATCTGCCACAGGTGGAGTTGCCCTCTGGTGGCTCTTGAATTCATGTGCTCATCTTGGGCCGGCAGTGTGTGGACAGTCCTGCTGGATCAGGACTATTTTAATCAGCTATGTCAGACAGACACACTGGCTCTGGACTCTCCCGGCTGGTGGGAAAAATCCAAGTCATGTGACAGCCATTGACCAATCAAACCACATTGTGTCCTCTGCCGATGTCTATTGTCCCTGTGCCAAAAAATTGGTTGCTATGTGAACTGTCACCGTGCCAACTGGCAGACAGTGGCTTACACAACCAGTTCAAATTTACAAGGGCTCCGTGGCCTCGTCTCTGTCTGTCCAAACTCTGCTTCTCTGGTTTTGCTTTCTTGTCCCCGTGTCTCAGCTGTTATGGTCCCCTGTGTCAGTGACAGTGTGAAAAGTCAAATATCGATCATCAGTCTTTACCTTCAGCCCATAACAAATATCTGCTTGAGCAATATGTACATAAGAAGCACCTGCAGCCAGAGCAGCCGCAACAGCAGGCGTGAAGGTCGAAAGACTAAATAAACAAATAAATAAATAAATAAATAAATGTGCTTTAAAGTTTTAACTATAAATCGGTTCTATGTCTCCACACTGTTGGACAGACCATGTCCAACATGAAACTGAACTGCGCAGCAACGACACTGTCTTCAACACCAGTACCGAAGTGTTACAGACTGACCACAAGAGGCAGCAGTGGACCAGAGACATCACATCAGTACAGGGTGTTTATTTCAGGGTGTTTGGGGGGAAAACATTCAAATGTCTCCAGGTACATTAACTTTAGTCCAGGAAAAAACATAGACCAGATGAGTCTAAATGTGGGAGCAGAAACCACTGGATCTGCATGTCAAATTATAAAAAAGATGGTATCAAACCATGTACTAATGTACTGTACTCCTACTGGTGAAACATTAACAAATAAAAGGTGGTACTAATGTACTGTACTCCTACTGGTGGAACATTAACAAATAAAAGGTGAAAAAATAAAATAAAACTCAAGTTACGCTAAAATACTGACAGTGTTCAACTGCCTTGAAACAATAAACAAACTTTCCAACTTTGACGTGTAAAAGGGTAAAGTAAGTTAGAGTTCCTGGTTTTTGTTTTGTTTTGTTTCATAACTAATTTAGACCAGTATGATGGGAAGTACACGTTTCTTCACACACACACACACACGTCACCTCTTTCCTGGTTTCCATGTAACTCGACTAAAATAACTGCAACTCTGCAGAGAAGAATGTGAGGTTTTACTGTAATACCGGTAGAGGGCGCATTCACACGCACGCAGAGCCGGCACCACGCCCCCTTTGTTGGACAGCAGCCAGCTCAAGCCTGATTGGTTCTTGGCAGTCACATGATCAGGTAACGTAAAGCCGGTCTGAGTGAATAGAAATTTGTCAGAGCCGGAGGAATACGAGCACTGAGTGGAAGGACGGAGGAGGAAGAGGAGCGAGAGCAGAAGGACGAGGAAGAGGAGCGAGAGAGTCACAGCATGAGTCTACAGGACTGAACTAACACCAAGAAGAAACCCGCCTCACTTTCTACCAACTGGAACCATTTGGTCCAAGGTTTCCATGAGTGCTGCGAGGTAAGAACCGGCTGCAGAGCCAGATCTCTCAGAGACCCGGTCCCACCTGAAACACAGGAATGTGTTTATAGAGGTAGAAAAATGTCAATTTCCTGCAGGGGAAAAAAAAAAAAAAATCTGGATTGTGTTGAAACGTGAAGATGATTTACCGCAGGTCTCTCTATGTTCAGAGACATGGCTAAAAGTTTTGTATACTTTTGGAAAAAAAAACAAAAAACGGGTAAACTTTACTTAAAAGTTTTGTATACTTTTGAAAAAAAAACAAAAAACGGGTAAACTTTACTTACTAATTAATCGAATCAATTATCATTTTATTTATGTTCTTTTTTTTAAATACAGGGCTGCTCCTAATTAACGTTAAAGGTTAAACTAAAGTCAAAAACTGCGGATATTAAGTTAAATTAAAGGAACTTAAACCATGACGAAAACATCCAATTGTTATTAAAGTTATTGCTAAATGTAAGTATTTTTAATAGCCTATTGTCAATATATAATTATTTAAGTTATTGCTAAATGTAAGTATTTTTAACAGCCTATTGTCAATATATAATTATTTGTATTAGTTTTGTTTTTTGTCAATACTGTATTGATTTTATTTTTTACTACTAGTAGTTGTCAACTACTTTTCTAAACTCAGTACAACTCTTAAAATGGTAGTTACTGGAAGCAGAAATTCAAATGTAAAGTCAAAGACATTATGACTGGTTTAGATTTGAAAGATAACCTTTTTTGGACTTCTTTGGTTTAACTTTTGCGTCACTGGTGTAACCTCACACTGACAGAGAGTTTCATCATTTTGGAGTGAATGTTGAGACAAGCAGAAGCTGACCTTTTTTCTTTTTTCCCCTCCTGTGTCTTCAGTGTCCTCAGGTCCTTCAGTCCCTCAGTGATGCCCGGCCCTGTGATGCCCATGGATGTGGCCATGAGGTTCTACATCAGCCATTCTCCACCGCCTCTGCACGGCTTCCTCAGCTCCTACGAAGAGCTGCAGCGTGCCAAGAACCGAGTAAATCAGACCAAGACCACGACCAGTGGGGGGCGCCGCTGTGGCCAGAAAATCTACAAGCCATTAAGGCCGTGCCTCAGCAGCCAGCAGAAGGCCGGAGAAGATGATCGCAGCATCGCCTGGAACAACAAGTCAGAGAAGAAGAGGGTGGTGTTTGCTGACTCTAAGGGAATGTCTCTGACAGCGATCCATGTCTTTAACAAGTTTGACGAAGAACCGTACCAGAGGTGGACCAAAAAAGGCGTCGGTCTGGAGGAGCTGCAGTTTGACATGAGTGACCTGGAAACCGCCACCATGGAGCTCAAAATAAGCACAACGAGTGACCTAGCGCTGGACTTCAAGCCGCCATCCTCTGACTACCTGGACTTCAGGAACCGCCTGATTCAGAACTCCGTCTGCCTGGAGAACTGCTCCCTGCAGAACCGCACACTAACCGGCACAGTCAAGGTCCGAAACATTGGCTTCGAAAAGTCAGTGCACGTCCGCGTCACCTTTGACTCGTGGACCAGCTTCACAGACGTGAACTGCACCTTCATGAACAATGTCTACGGCTGCCACGACACTGATACTTTTGCATTTGTGCTGGAGCTGCCGGCCCACGTCGCACCACAGAACCGCGTAGAGTTCTGTGTCTGCTTCAAGGTCCAAACTCAGACCTTCTGGGACAATAACGATGGCAAAAATTATGTCCTCAAGCACATTGGACGCAATGGCCAAGCCCTGAAAACCCTGAGCATTCAGCCTGCTGTGGGGCAGAAGAAGAACGAAGACGTCGGTGTCGGCATGAAGGTCGTGGAAGTAGAGTTTGACCAGTTTGGAAGCCCACGCATGTGCAGCGGACTGTTCCCAGGCTGGCAGAGCTGGGGTCAGTGCGACACTACTGTACCATACTGGTGAACGATTACAGATAAAGAGACCCATGGATTGAGTCTACAACCTGAGAAGCACACAGACCTTTGTGCACAGACACTAACTGTAACTGACCAGAATTAAGAAAAACACACACAAAAAACGTTAATGTGCCTTTAAAACTACAGTACAGTCACTTTTTTTGCCACTTCTGTGAAAGCCATTGTGGTGACGAAGGGACAGCTAAGGTTTTTTAAGTGTTTGTAGGGACACCAGTACTGAGTCTACTGAGAGCACCCCCTGCTGTTCAAACCAGAAACCAGAAACAGAGCCTTGCCCTCAGTGAAAATATTGGCTGCCGGCAGGGACACCAGTACAATAAACACAACGTTAGCCACCTAACAAAACATACAACAAATCTAGATCGTGATGACACAGAAGCTGCAGGTCAACTGCTGCCTCGTGTGGTCAGTTTGTCACTGATGTGACATTAATTGCTGAATTTATAAAACAACTACTACTTTTGAGTTAGGTGCAGTTAACAATAGCCATGTGTCATAACCTTAACTGTCCCTGAACTCACCAGTCTTTCATCATCACCCACTGAGGGTCCGATCGGCAAGACATAGTGATGATAATGAGGACAACGATTGTGATGATGAAATCCTTCATATTGAAGGGGAAAGTCTGGGTATAGTCTGTGATGAAAGAACTCTCTGTTGATTCACACCTGATGACTACAGTAGATGCACGCTCAGCTTCTTTTTGCACCTTCAGATGATGAAAAGCAAATGTGATGAGTCATGATTAGACATGATCAATCAGCTAGCCCTTCCTTTTTTTTTGTTTTCCAGGTAGACGTGAATTGGCACATTTGCCTTATTTTAATAATTCAAAGACGTGGCCACTGCTGCGTTGATACTTGATTGGTCAAGAGAAAGAGATTTTTAGTTTTTAAACAGTGCAATTTTGTGGTGAGTGTAAAGTTAAGTGTGAGTGGAAATGAGATTTTTGAATGAGGATGAGTTAGCACAAAACTATATATATTTTTCTGCAAGTCTGTAAAGCTTGTGTTTTTAACTTGAAGGTGTCGTTGATGATGAAATAAATGTCTATATTTGAGCTAAACTCTTCGCGACTCCTGAGTCTTTTGTTTTTGAATCTTGCAGTCGTAACAGAATAAAAACAAACCTTTGCTTTGAGGTGACTCTAAATGTTGAGGCAGCTTCAACCCCTGCCCTTTTTTGGCCAGTTAGCTTCTTCAGAGTTATGCTAATAGCACACATAGTTAGGATAACAGAAACAACAAATTAAATCTCCATAAGAATCGGCCTCTGTTGTTTGAAGAGCCGCTGAGTATAACAAGATTTACCTGTTGCTCATGCTAAAGCTAGCAAACCTATTACATTAAAGTTATTAGATTGTTTGATGTTAACCCGACAGATTTAATTATGATGATAATTAGCATCTTAAAAGTTAAGCCTCCGGGTTTTATCAAGTTAGCATTTTGCGATGTGTTAGATAATGTTTGAATGCTCTTATTTTATTTCCACCATGTTTGTGCAACCCTCTTGAGGGAATATCATTTTAAACAACAATATATGTTTTCCTGGTAAACGTGGCCCATTTTGAGGCAATTTATTAATCAATTTAAGAAGATAAATTCAAATCAGGATTCTAGCCATGTCCCTGAAAGCTAAAAAATGGGAAAATGTGAAGGGGTGCGTAGATAGCTGGAAATTGTACGAAACCAATAAAGATACCTCAGAAAGAACCAGCAGTATTATCTGAGCTCCTGCTGCAGTCTGACCCTGCAGCTGTGGTATTAGAGATGTTATTGTGACACATGTTCATATGTTTGGTACATTTCATTTTCTGTCTGCTGCTAGAAAAAAAAATCAAATTTTTCTCTAGTACCTGTAATTTCCTGTGCAATAAAATCAGTAGTACCTGTAATTTCCTGTGCAATAAAAATCAGTCCATCCCACCCATCCCATCTTCCTGTTTTTCATTCCTCTCACAGATGCATAAAAATCTGTCAGTACATGTCAGACTGGAGCTCAGTTCTGAGGCAAAAACAACAACAGGCGTGTAACCAACAGTTGTCCCTCACAGTTATATCAAAGTTTATGTCGGTGTCTTTAACAAAAACACACTTAACAGCCACACTTTTAAACAACATCAGCAGAAACATGAGCAACGACTGCAGGATGACTCCACTATCACTGCCTCAGCCATCTTTTCAGCACTTGACACAGACAGGTGTGTTACTGTATATAGTACACCCACTTAGAAATATGAAATGTGCAGATGGAGTCACGTGCAGCCCCCAGACCCTCTCCTCTGGTCAAACATTGACAAAGTTAGAGCTGCCTCTAACAGGAGGAACTGGACCAGAACGATGGAGCGAGATCTCAGGGCCAGAATCCTGCCACGCAGAGATAACAGGGTCAGGAAAACAAAGACAAGATTGTCAGGACTGAACGAGGAGGTTACTCTCAGTCATGTGAGGACAAGTCCTGGTTTTCACCTGATGCTGGTAGAAAGAAAAAGCATCAAAATAAAACTAACCTTTACTTTGTGTGTTTAATCTCAAGTACGATTAAACAAAACCAGAAGAGTCCACCATATCACATTTTTTGTCAGTGTATGGGGTTAGCACTGTGACTAATACAAATAAGCTCTTTCTATCACAGGGTAAGACAAGAGAGGAGTCCAGTCATGAGAAGGTGACCTGAACTGTCTAACAGCGTCTAAAGGTTTAGCAGTCACTGAAGTGGAGAGTGGAAGGGTTTGTGGCCGCCGTTCAGAATCTTTTGTTTTTAAATCAAAGTCATTCACCTTTAGCACAATCATAATTGTTTGACTGTGACTGTTTGAGTAAGAGAAGACAAGGGAGACCAGTCTGGGTGGGCACAGCCACTATATGTTTGTGTTAGCGTGGGGACATCATCTGTGGACACAGTCAAATTATGGGGTCCAGTTTTACCCATGGGGTCAAAAAAACAAGTCGTTAAAATGTTAATCATTAATTTTTTTTAGAAAAAAAAAACTTTGTTGACTGTTTATAAAGTGTGGTTGTATAGGGTACTGCTAAAAAAAAAATCAACATTGTATATTTTCAATATAGAGGGCAGCGCCCCCTCCTGCCCCCAATTTCTAATTCTTAACCTAACCTTGTAGCCCGTTTTTTGTTACTGTTATAATATTTTATTAAAGAGGAGTTGATTGATTCAATGGGAATATATTGTCTATCAACACATGACAGAACCCGAAATGTCCCTTTAAGGTCTGGGTGAGGGTTAGTCTAAGGTTATGGTCAAGGATAGCACCAGTCTGTTTACATATTTGTGTTACAGTTGAAATGTCAGAGGTCAAGAGATAGGACAGGTCAGAAACACGTGAGCAGGTCAACAACCAAACAGCAGACGATGTGTGTGTTTTTATTATGAGTCGTTCCTGCCTGGACATACATGTGTATGTGTGTGTGTGTGTTGCTGGTATTCATGATTGCATGTAATGCTGGGAACAAACAAAACTACACCAATGTTGTGGTTCACTGGTCTGACATGATTCTGAGTGACTGTGTGCACCGGTATCTGTCACATCGTATTTAACACCTGAAAATCGACACACTTCATGATGAAAACAGACAGGTGTGAATTTCCTCTTTTTAAATGTGTTGTTTGTCACAGATTGAGAGTGAAAACTAATGGAAGCTAATATAAAAGGCTAATGACATCGCTGCTGTACTGTAGCTACTGCAGGAAGCTAACTCACTGGGCTAAAAGCAGACAAAGTTTATCTAGTCTTTGGAATGCTAAAAAAAAAACAAAGAAAAAACTACTGACCCTGTGTCAAGAGTGTTTCACATTAACAGCTATCAAAGCTAATTGTGTTGATTTTCTAGATGCTAAAATAGCTAAACAGAGGCTACTGTTGGCCCTTTGTTATCATCATAGCATCAGTATGCTAAACAAACCATTTAGGTTGAGTTTGTTACGTTAGCAGCAGTAGATGATTATTTCTAGCTTAAGCTGCGTTCTAGCAGTTTTTGCTGTTATATAAGCACTGACCGTAGATGTCAGTTACTGTAGCTGTTGTAACAACTGCAGTAGACACTGACAGTTGTAGGTTCTTTCTCCGTTGCTAGGCTCACTGCTGGAGTCTAAAAGCCCCTGTCAGAGCTCCTTGACTGATTTCCCAGTTTTTACGGTGCTTTTTAAAGACATTTTATAGCTGCTGGTGTCAAACAGAACTAACTGCCACCACAGGAAACGACAGGATCGGCCACTTGTTGGTTCACATGTGGTCTGTGGTTTCGTCTGGAGAGTGAAGCTTCTGTTTGAGGGACACGATTAGATTCTGCAGAACGTTGTGTTCCTCAGCTGTTTCTTACTGGCTCTTCATCACACAGAGCTGTTCTCTATTTGAAATGGACTTTGATTGGCTGTGACTTCAGTGTGGAGCCACTGTATGTGGATGTGACGCCTTATTTATGGAACCGGTCGCTGAAGGGAAAAGACTGTCTTAACACGTCAGGTTCAGTGAGTTTGGAAAAAAATTAGCAAATGAGAGCAGACGGAGCATTCAGACCTGACCTGTTCTCTTCAACGACGTGTAAAATACAAATGTCAGTTATATAATATTACACGAATGTGCATAAGGTGTTCTGTTGATTCATTTTCCTGCCTCATAGAGGCTGCTGTAATAGTCATTGTTTACATAAAGCAAGAAAACAGAGCAGCAACTTTAGATGGTACTAATTATTTCAGAAAAGAAGAATAGCCGTTACATTCAACATTTCCACTGCCTCAGCTGTTTACTTAACATTGACACCTGGCTGCTGCAGTACTGCTGCCTCAAGTGCACTGTTTGTGTGACAGTGATGAATTACGGTGAAGGAATTGCAAACTCTTCGGTTCGCAGTTCACAAAGTTCACTGTCCTGGTTAGGTTTGCTGTATGAGACATGACAGCGACAGCTTTAAAAAAACATAAGTAAAGTCAGCCCTAACCTGAGTTGTGTCAGGTCAGTTCATGTGATGCTACTGCTGTCTGACATCTCTGTGTCAGGTCAGTTCATGTGATGCTACATCTTAGATGGAAATGTCAGTCTCTGCGTGTTCTTTATTTGTCAATAAGTGCAGCCTGATGGTCAGGTTTAGACTCAAGGTCATGGGTCAGAGGTCAGCGGCACTCAGACTATAAGTGTTGAGGACTGTTGTGTTTTTTACTAAGATGCTTGACAGTAAACACTGGACTGCACTGTTGTTGATGATAGGGAGGCGAAAACGTTCTGAGGTCACATCCCTCCCACTCCACTGCATTTGACCTTAGACACAGGTTTGGTGTGTCATGTGATCACTTTTTGCGTCACTGTGTGTTTTTGTGTCTAAGAAAAGATCATGGTTCATATGGAGAAAATATTTCACCCTAAAGAAAGAGGTCAGAATCCTGTGCGACACTGACACAAAGTCAGATCTTGCGACACCGAGTCAGTCCTGGCTCCAACATTACTAAAGTCTAATGACACAAAATTACTCTCACTGGGTCAAATCATTTTGTTAATGTCTACTGAGTAAGAAGAACTGGTTGAGCAGTGGCAGAGTAAATCATGTCAGGTAAATATTGAAAATGCTGAGCCAGCGTCTGCATGTAAAGATTTAGATTTAAGTTGCCATGGAGGCCACCGTCCAGCAGCAGGCTGCAGACGTCAGACTAGTCAACTCACAGCTAGAATACTGTTATAGTCTACCAACAAATGGACATTTTTTTTCAACTCGTATTGTACTGATACCAAGCCTGTACAAACTGTAGCTACAAAGTGGATTATTTTTCTTTAATTTATTTTCTTTAATTCTCTTCCAGGTGCAGTATAACTTTAGTCACTTTACTGATACACACCCTGCAGTTACTGTTACTACGACGTGTCTATCCTGCTGCAGTAACAACTGAAGTCTAGTACAAACCATTATCTCTCTTTGTAAAATAACCAACTTAAACATTTAACAATAAAACATTTACTATTATAAATACATTTTGGGGCAAAAATTATTATAGAGATCTAGTCACGAGCCAGATTTGAGGCGTTCGCAGGACACGAGTGGCCCACGAGCCGGTAGTTTGAGAACAGTGAGTTAGAAAAAGCCATACATTTACTCTCAGAAACCTGAAGTATATCAGTAGATCTGAGTCCAGTTAGAGAATTTAGTCAAGAACCGGGAACATGTTAAGAAAACAGTGTTGTCATTGAATGGTGTTTCCCTCAAAGCCATAGTAACTCTGTGACTTAAGCTGAAAACCCAGGACAATGCAGGATTTATGTAGAGAAGCTAGCAGTAAAAACACCTCGACCACAGCAGTCTGTGGAACAGGAGAAGTCAGTTTCCTGACAGATTACCTCCTGACCGCTCCTCCCACAGCTGATCACGCTCTCCCTGCATGAACCAGGCATGTTCGCAGCAACAAACGCTGTGCTCTGAGCCAGGAATCACATTTCAGCAGTCAAAACCCACACAGAGCTTCTGCAGCAGCTGTTCCTACTTGAATACCACAGTGCTGTTATATTGTGTGACAGGTTTGCACTATGCTCAAACACCAGCACGATCACAGGCTCAATGACAGTCAAAGGTTACAAAAAAGTATTCATTAAAATAATGTATGCGACAAAATCCTTTTAAATAGTTCACAAATTTGTTCCAAATGACGTGGCTGTGAGAGCAGACATCACCACCAGGCTAACAGCATGAAGACAAGTAAGTATTTAGAGATTCTGAAGAAATAAAAAGTTGAGGACAATTTTTAAATCCACCCACATTTGTTCCATCATTGAACTGTTTTAGCTCAGTGACTCAAGTTTTATCAGTTTGGGTCGGCGACAGATGATGACTCACACCTAACCTATCAGTGTCTTCATCATCATCATCATCATCATCATACATACGTTGACCCAGAGCAGATAAAAAAAGATTTATGTTTATCACTCTTTATCTCCGAGCTGCAGCGTTTTATCAGCCTGTTATCAACTTTCACTGCTGACGCCTGAAGTCTTCCTGGATGAGAAACAGTGAAATGTAACAGAATTACCAAAGCTAATACAACATTAGGCACATTCTGAAACAGGGCTTATTTTTTAAAGAATTCCAGGGTTAAACTACTGTCGTTAACTCAAACATCAGAGTAAGAAACAGCACAGAAATAGTTGAATTCCCTAAACAGGAAGAGATAACTTAAAATAACATTCCTATGAGTGTGTGTGTCTGTCTGTGTGTGTGTCTCTGTGTGTGTGTGTGTCTAGACTTCTTGAATCAAACAAAATAAAACAGATCAACAGTTGTCTTTCTGTCAGGTGGCATCCCTCAGGGCTGCGTCTAAGACTCGTTACGTTTGAATTCTTCCTGCTTTTGTAGTTCATTTATTCATTCACTCACAGCTGAAGCCTTTTCTGGGTTACAGGTTTATGGGGCAATTACCAGCAGTCATCAGGTGAGGGTGGGGTTCACCACCTCCACGACGGAGATTACAATCATCTGCACTCACATACATACTTATGGTTGATTTAGAGTCAACAGTGAGTGTGTGTGTGTGCGTTTTTGAACTTTGGGCCAAGAGAAATTTAACAGTTAAAAGTCTCTCTCTCTCTCTCTCTCTCTTTTTCTCTCTCACACACACACACACACACACAGACACAGTCGAAGCCTTTGGATCGACCGACACATCAGTGTTTGATGTTAAAGTACAGAGTTTTGGGTGCAGCACATCCATTGCTCTATAAAGAGGAAACTCATGTCTGAATAACCCTGATCTGACCTTTGACCTCTGAAGATTTTCTGCTTCAAAAAGGTGAGGAAATGAACACAGAGGTGTGAGAGTGTCCACGCTCACATGGATTGATTTTCTCCAACAGCAAACACAAGATGAGCCATGCCCTTGTTTGGGAATCTTTAGCCACACCCCCTCGGCGTTCACCGTCCCTGATTCTTCCACTGACCTGATTTCTCCTGGTCCCGTTCCAGTCTGTCTCCCTTCTTTTGTTTGTAAACACATTCTTGAACCTGAAGTCTTTATGCAATTAGTGCAATTAACCTGAGAATCTTGAACTGACACACTTTTCCTTCACCTGAATTCTGTCAGAGCCAAATGTTGTTAAAGAACATTATATATTAATTGCTTTGTTTTGAGAGTCTGCCATTAATCCATTCACATCAATCGGATTGAAATTAATAATTAATAATTTTAGAAAGTGACTTAATAAATTCAAAATAATAATTCAACTCCCCTTCAGTGGATTTGTAGATTTATTTAAATTGAAGCAATTATTTCCTGAGCTGTTCACTACCTCGGGTTTTCTACAAAAAAAGATCGTTTGGTGAATAATGGAAACAAAGGTATTTCACTAGGACGGTGTGTAATGTGTTCCACAGGGGTCAATGTTCAGCCCACTCCTTTTTTCATTACAAATGGTTTTCCTTCATCATCGTGACTCAATAATCCTTTAAATTTTAGAGTAAAACAGACAGTTCAGAAGAAGGAATGACAGAGTGATTGACAGCTGCACCGTCCAATAAGAGCCTGGTGACTTTTGATGTCAATTCATTTCTTTTTTTATTTCTTTTTCATCCTGATCCTGGGTTTTTAAACTTTTAAAGTTAGTTTTGTGTTCACAGGAGGGCGTCTGTGACACGTACCCACTCAGGCAGGTGAAGTAGCAGCAACAGCTGCAGAGTCCAGGTCAGTTAGAACCTGATAAAGATTGTGGAACTGTCACACAGGTGATAAGACCCACTGTCACCACCAGCACCCACTCACTGGAGACTTCACATAGCTGTGAGGACGCATGAAGAGTTGTGCTGCCAAACTATCTGGACTGGAGAGAACGGTCTATTCTGATCCACGTCCACGCACACACACTCTCTCTCTCTCTCTCTCTCTCTCTCTCCCTTGGAATAAGTCTGCTCTCAATGTTAATACACAAAGTACTGGCTCCTGAAATAAAGGTCAAAGACACTCCCTCCCACTCCACACTCCAAAGTCCATCGTGAAAATCTGTAAGTTTAGCTCACTGAGAAACAGGAGCTGCTGGTACACTACTGCCTCAGGTGGACACTTTGTGTCATTGAATAATGGAGTTCAAACACAGAGGTGAAACTGACATTTTTTGATTTGCAGCCGGGATAACCGTGGATCCATAAGTCATTTATACTGTACTGTGGAATTTTGAAAAGGATACATTTAACTAGTTTGTTGATTTACTTAATACATCCTTAGGCTAACTTTGAATTAATTTAGCTTTATCATCTTCCCTTTAATCACCATGGCTAAATTAAAGCCTTAATTATACAAAGGGAACTCCCAAAGGGAATTAAAAGTTATATATATATATACTGTATATATTTGAAATCCATCCACTAAAAGAGAAATGTAAGACAAAAGGCAGCGATGTTGTCACAGGGAAGTGAATCAACTCGTACTCATATCAATGAAATAGATTTTGATCACTTTTCTGGATAAATGACACATTTCCAGTCATTAAAAAAATTGTTAAGTTCCTGTAACAATACCAGGAACTGCAGTGGTTTGACTGTGCATGAAATGTATTATTACATTATTTTTTATTTAATGAAATGAACGTAACGATCAAATCCAAATGTATTTGTATTGTTTCATGGCGTGCCGTAACTGGTGTGTTTGGTAAGTTTAATCAACCCAAAGTTTCACAACAACAAATACCACAAAGACCAGACGAGACAGGTGAGTCATGTGACCAGCTCTGCCTCACCCAAAAAACCGACAACATCTGATATAGTTCTGTTGAATAAACGACGATAAAGGACTGCACTTATCGCCCACAACACTTGTAGATGCCAGAATATGCTGATTTTAAAGTGGGACTCACCTCCACGCCGCACCACTGCTTACTGCAGCCAATGAAGACCAACACAGATGTTCAGAATCCTCCGTACCGCAGACATAACCGCAGGTGCACTGAGAGAAATCTGCTTCATTTGGTCTGAAAAAGAGCAATACCAGAAAGGATTTTAAAAACACGAAGCATTAATAAAACCAACAAAGTTCATGCAGAGACAGAGATAGTTTTTTGGTTTGCTTTTCATATTTTCACACACAGAAGACCTATCAATATCTTTTGGTTTAAATGTCACACTAGATGGCTACAAAATAAAATTTCCAATTCCTGCAGGTATCTCAGTGTTCAACTAAACAGGCCGGGGTGAATCATTTAGTAAGGAAATTGAAACCAAGATCATTGTATTGCGTTACACACACACATTTTGAGATTTTGTTTGGTGCAGGGCTACTATTTTAGCTAATGGTTAGCCCTCATTTCTACAAAGATTTTTATCTCAGTTTCATTAATGGCATAGCTACCTGTTTGTTTTTATTGTTTGTATTTCTTTTTTAAAATATTTCTGTTATTGTCTTGTTGCTTCTTCCTGCTTCCAAAAGTTCTAAGTTCTAATCTAATCTAATCTAATCTTTCAGCAGGTTTGTTTGAAATAACATTTATTGGTTAGCATTAGCTTCAGTTTCGTGTCAAAAGGCCTTTCAAAACAGGATTTTTTTATTGCATGCTTTTATCCTGTGTGAACATTCAATAGCTTGCTGTATCTTGTCTTCTTTTAATTAGAGGTTTTTATGTAAGTTGTTTTTCCTTTACTTTCACTAGGCTTTCTCAGGTGATGGTCTTTTCTAAAACGTTTTGTCAACGTTTATAGGCTAGAGTAAATACATAGCAAACTTTGCAGAAGAACACAAAAATCAAACAAACAGCTGTTTGTTAAGTTTGCTTGTTGACTGTGGCAGAACTACGTGCAGTGTGAGAAGTAAAGAGACATGAACTGTGACCCTATGTTGGGCACAGCTTCTCCTTACTATGACGATATTGAAAGAGAGAAAAAAGCAGAATTAAAAAAAAAATTCCAATTTGCAGAAATCCCACAGTAAAAGTTGTAAACTGAGTGCAAAGGTAGAAACTTACTTTTATCAAACTTCTCTAATTTCTGTTGTTTCTTAATGGTAATTGCTTAAAAATGCCTGTAACAGGATTTGGTATGACGTCATGTGAAATTGTGTTAATAGTGATACATTCATATCCTTGTCTGAATTAAATAGAAGTGAAAGTTTCAATTTAGTGACAAATATTTAGATTCAACTTTTTTTTTCCACCAAACTTAAACTTCTGATGATATATTGAAGTCACCTTACCTTCACTTTCAACTTCTATGTGCACATATAAGGTTCTTTTAACAATATATCTTTTACTTTATATAGAACTATGACGTTTTAAACATTTGTGTTGGATAATATTAGCTCCTGGAAATGTTCTCTTTGAGAAGCTAGCTCCGATTAGCGGCAGCTAACATCATTAAGCTGTATGTTATCTTAGGTGTGATTAGCTCTTACCAGCCTTCATAATGAATTCACCAGCTGAAACTTACTGTGGTTTTTTAGGACTTCTTAAGGACAAAATAGGCACAGTTCTAAAGTTTATTTCTTTACATTACCGTTGTCTTCTAAAGGCTTTTCATAACTTACTATAGCTTCCGGTTCTGTTAGCCGTTAGCTTCTTCGTTAGCACAAACTCGAGTTAACCTCCTCAACTTCAGCTTCTCCTTTTTTTTTTTTTAAATAGTAGTTTTAACCTAAAATGGGTATGATCCGGTTACTTAATTCAGCAATTACGTAACAAGAACTTCCTATTAGTTGACACCGTCTGTCATGGACTTTATCAAACGTTTAGTTCCTGTCAGAATCTATGAGGTTATAAAGGCCAACAAAACAAAGGCAGGTGATCAGAGAAGGTACATCCCGTCCACAGGGAAGAACACCAAGTGTCTCTTTGACCGAAGACAGTGTCCTGAACACCAATAATAAACCTCCTGCTATTTCTGTGAAGCCTAGTCATTGTGACAATAATAATAACTTGTGACAATGCATTCCCAAATAACTGAACTAAACCATAATTATCCTAAATCAAATGCTCTCTTGTAAATCAACCAGTCTTGCTAGCCTAACATAATCACACATGCATCAGTTTATCACAATCTACTGCAAGACACTGATTTTAGCAATTTATAGTCAAAGTAATCCATGCTAAGGAAACAGACTTAAATAAATAGTAAATGTCAGGATCCTGGTTTAAACGACAGTTGGATCGATGTTTAGATGGAGTTTCTTCTGGAGGAAATGAACAACAACACATTTGTTTTTGAACCAAAGCTGTGAGGGGGGAAATACCTCACAGACCTGAGGTCAACGCCTGACACTGGACTGCACGAGTTTATCACTTTAATAGTTCCAACAGGCTTCAATTGGCTGGGTCTATGTCTGCTCCGATATTAAAAAAATAAATAAAAGGGAACACTGATAATGACCGACTGTTAATAAGTAACGAAGGCTGCAGAACCATGGCCCTGGCCTACATGTATGGGTTTGTTTAATTGGAGATAAGCGTTGCTCTAAAGTAGGACGCACAATGAACAAGAACAGAACAGGAAACTGAGGTCTGTAAACTGAGGCCCAGAAGTCTATGGAGAAAAGAAACGTTTTATTCTCACAGGGACACGCAGAGGCCAGTTTACAGCTGCTACATGTGGTCAGTTTATGAGCCTGGTGACTCTAAATGAGGGGCTTGGAGTTGGTGACTATGGTCAAAAAAATACAAAATACAATTAACTCATTGATAGAAATATCAGTGGATCACAACTGTTCTGTACAATCATGTAAAATCCAAGATATTACAGGGAAAAGTTGTAATCTTATCCGCAGTTAGCATTTTCTTAGGACTGCGAGGTCTTAGTTGTTGTTTTTTCTCTAGACTTAAAAATACGGCAGCATTTATGTCAAAAGTATGAATGAGAGTGAAAGCTCATAGGTTTATTTTATGACGGCTTATGCATAAAATAATTTAAAAAACATAAATAAATAAAGCTTCAGACATACAATCAAGATGTTTGTAATGTATAAGTCAAAACAGAGAAGTGTCAAACACAGGTCATGGTCAAGTCCTGTCAGAATCTAGTGGTAGGGTCATGCAATGGGTAATTACATAAAGCAAAGTTCCCTTGTAGGACACAGATGTGTTGTGTTGTCAGGAGTGACACACACAGATCACATTGAAACCTTGGCGTCTCCCATCTCAAATGTACGCACTATAATATGGCACATACAACACTAATACTACAAATCCCAACTCTAATACACATTTGATATGATCTCACGGGCCAAATATAATTTATACCGGTGCCCAGATTTGGGCCGTGGGCCTGGGTTTGACACCTGTGATCTCATAGAACGTGATTTGTAAATTATTCACCGTCTCACACAGAGGTTCATTGTGAAATCAGTGATTTCATCACACCATACCAAACCTGTTGGAAGGTGATTTTATGTAACTTTATGCTACTCTCAAACTTACCTCAGTTAGCAGCGCGACCAGCAGCTCCTGTGTCCACGTGCACTTAAACTGGCATATTTCTCCATGGACTCTGGTGTGGATAAACAGTCAAAACATTTTTTAATAATGACACGTTACCAACCCTAGCTTTTAGGGAATCATAATTTTTACTCTTCTGTGATTAAATAATAACCTGCAAACACAAATATCTCAACATCAAAACGTACAATGTGAAAATCCGATTACTGCACTGATAAACAGATTACTGCGCTGTGTGTCCGTGTGTGATAAACGACGTAAACAATCACTGAACTGTAAACAGCTCTGAGTCACAACATTTAAAAAAAAAAAGTTAAGCATCTGCTGCAGCAAAACACGCAGACATGTCCGAAACGAATGTCCTCTGACAAAAAAAACACAAAAAACGACAGTTTGTGGAAAAAATGCTTCAAGCAAAAAGTTCCATAAAATGCTCTAAACAACAAACAGATCATATTTAACACCATATCTTTTAATACAGAAACAGAAGAGTGTGAGGCTGCTTCTTCTGTTTAAATGTTAGCATCAGTGCATTAGCGCCATCAGCTGGTTACGAAAATAAAAATAATATCAAAGATAATCCCTGGAACTGTCTGAAGAAATTTAAATTGTTTAAATATTTTGAAGCTGTGAGAAACAAAGAGAGGAAAATAAACAGGCTGCATCGTAAGCAATTATGACTATTTCCTCTGTGCTAGCCACTTCCTGTTTCTACCGCAAGTATGCTTCCTTTGTTCTTCCGTATTTCCTGAGTATTTATTGGATGAATCTTGTATGTTTTCCTGTTTAATGTGATTTTTTTGTTTGTTTCCTGTGTATTTACTGTCGTATAGTGTTACAGTTTCCTCTTTGCAGTTTTTATGTTGCCGGTTTTCTGCTATTTTCTGTGTATTTTACCGATTGTGTTTCCCGTTTGTTTAATTTGACGGTGCCATATATTTGTTTTAATGTGACTGTCACTGATCTAATTTGTTTTTTGTTAAAATGCCAGATGTTTTTTGTGGAATAGATTCCAGTTTTATCTTGTTGTCATATTTTTATTCCATATGTACTTCCTGTATTGTTTTATCCTGTTAGTTTGTCATGTTTTAAACTGTAAACTGTGGTTCCTGATGAGTTCTTTGTTCTTTGTTCCCCGTTTCTGACTTTGTTCTCTACATGGTCCCCGTCTGAGTCCGGTTTTTCTTCATGCTTCTTGTTGAGTTCCCCTTTGTTTCTCATTTTTCTTCCTGTTCTGTTCATCTCTTGCGGGTTTGTGTTTTTTCTGCAAGTTTTTCTTTTCACCTTTGTAATTACTGTACATTCAATGTTCAGTGGACAGACATTTGTCCATGTGCAGAGGCTCCGCCCCTGGACATGTCACTCCAGACCGAAGCCCTCTGCATTGGAAATGGCAATGGTCAGTTTGTGTTTGAGCTCCTTCCTGTTTCGGTAAGGGGGCAAACAGATCTGGTTAAAGCAGGTGTGAGAGATGGGTAACCTGTAAGAAGACAGAGACAGGGACACGGTCTTAATTAGGTCCAAGAATTAGTTCCAGGTTCCAGAAGGGCTTGACATCCAAAATGAGGATTCACATGAATCCACTGTTTTGTAAATATTTATTCATTTTAACCGGTCAAACACTAAGAGAGCGCCATCATCTGGACTGGAGTTGCTGACACCTTTGATGGAACACAGATGTTCCACAGTGTTGATGTGACGAATTTTACACTCTGCCAGAACATGTGTATAGTAAGAAAAAGATCTGTTTAAGCCTAGTCCATCCTAGCCGTGTGTTGCCATGGCAACGTTGGTGCAACTTTACCGTCATATTTGAGTCAGATCAGCAGATAATGTTGACTTATCACAATCAAATTCTGATCAAATGAATCCCTGATTTTCTTGAAAAGAAAACTTACCAGTCGGTCGGAACGTCTATTTTGGAAATTTTGAAGTTGAGGTCAGCCATGCCTCCAACAGGAACTCTGTCACTTCCTGTGGCGAAGTGAAGCAGCTTCTTCTGCAGCTCCAGAGGAAACAAAAGAACCACATCCCAGAAACAGCTGTGAGAGGGCAGACGTGCACAAACACACACACAAATTTCAGTCAACAATGACGCAACACCTTGACGAGCCTCGATCAAGCGGCACAGGTATGAATCCCCGTATATCCCCTCCTAGTGGCTAAACCATAGAACTGCTACTCCACTTTCCAACTGTCAACTATAGTTTATCCTAAAATACTCTACATTCTTCAGGTACCAACGAGGTGAGGGGGTTTTTACCGAACAGTGGCGTCAGTTTTACTGTATCCTTCGTACTGAGCAGCTCGCTGCAGCGCGCTCATGTCCAGCTCAGGGCTGCCGCACACCAACATCTCCACCTCCTCTGGACGCAGCAGCTGCAATGGAAAAAAAAAAAATCACATTTTGCAATTTATCAGTATCCTCAACCACCCAAACCACAACAGGGGTGAACTTTAAGATACTGTCACTTTAAGACACTGTCACTGGTCGGTTTCAGGTTAAAACATGACTCAAGAGTGACCAAACCGTCAAATGATGATTAAACCCTTTCATCACTGACAGGAATTCACAATAAAAACACACCCACCTACACACACACTGCACTCACCATGAGGGCGTCAGACGCACACACACTGTGGAAGCCATGGTAAAATGCCGCAAACTGTTTGTAGATGGATTTATTCAACAGGAAGTCCACATACAGCTGAACATATTCTGGAAATAATTACCACAACACAGAATCCATTAAGCCAACCAGCGTTTTGGTGTCAGTTGCTCGTCAATAGTTCATCAATCAGTCATGTTTTGACTCATACAAACAGGAAGTTGGTACTCACCCTTCCGGTTCTGTTTGGTAACGGGAATTTTGTCTCCTCCAGGCTTCAGGTTGTAAGATTTGACCACACCCATTTCTTCCTGTAACACCTGAGCACGTACACACACACACACAGAGGCAGAACAACAGACATCATCAGATGAAGATCAAATATTGATTTAGTGATGTTCCCTGTTTGCACAAAAACCATATAAAACAAAAACTTCTGTAAAAACTGACATTTTAGGTCTACAAATGTTGAAAAAAAAAAACTCCTGATCTTTAGTCAGGATTATCCATTTTAGGTCTACAAATGTTGAAAAAACCCTCCTGATCTTTAGTCAGAATTATTTTAGTGTCTGTAGAAAATGAAGTTTATTGGTCCTCTGTAAAACATAAGCTTCAGTATGAAAAGCTGAACTGTGACTGAGAGGTCAGGTGTGAGAAAAAAAAATCAATGTTTTAATGCAGACTGTATGCACAGAGAATAAATAGGAGAGGACAAACACAGCTGTATGTGTGTGTGTGTCTGTGTGTGTGTGTGCATATATGCATGCACTAGAGTGAGCCCAGCAGCAGGTCAGTG